GTAAAGGAAGTTTCGTTTACAATTAATAGTACAGATGACTCTTGCATCAGACTCGTTTATCGGTCGGAATACCGTTTAACATCTTGTCTTCCACATTCCAAGGAGTAATAATTCTGTGTTGGATCAGCTTCGTTGGAGGACATCTTCGCATTTGGATTTTTCCATCACGTCTACATTCGGTATCTTCGGCAGTCAGTAACAAATGAGTATTAAAACAGGCACTATTCTATCGTATCCAACTGATGTATAAGTGACTGACATTCTAGCGGTATAAACTTTGGTTTTTTCATTCATATCAGTGTTGCTTCAAGATGCTCAGTTGACGGTGTACCTTCCTTTTAGCCATCTATGATGGCATTGCGGAGCAAACTGGCGAAATGAATTTATCGGAATTGGTCAGATTGTCTATTTGTACCAAGGTGACTGTCTTCCCCAAGTGCTCCGGAAAGCAGCACACGCTTAAGCATCTTTAACAGCTTTTCTAATATTTCCGTGATTAAAGCTGGGCATGTTTCACTCGAGTACGTAAATACTAATGTTTTGGTAATTGTAGCATTAGGGCTTCCTTGAAGTAAGGGTAGAGTATTCATATATCTGCCTCCGAAGCAGGAACATATAGGGATCACGCCAGAAGCGACCGAAGATCTTTTGATTGCTCATAAGTGGAGGCAGCTGTTTTGCCGAGATATTATAACACCTAGAGATAGGTCTCTGTACTGGCCATTAATTAGAACCCTGAATTACCAGGATTTCACATTCAAGCAATACATTGGGACATATCAGTAGATTCGTCTATTAAGGTAGACCTCCTTGATATTTCCTGATTAAAGTAGACGGAATGACAATTTTATCATAACAATCTTCTATCCTCAGAAAGGCGGAAGTCGCGTGTGCAGTACAATTGTCGTGTTCATTCGCCTATTCAGGCGTTGACTCCGACGACCTCGCGTCCGTACACTGGAAGGGGGGTCTCGTTTAACTTTCAAACCATCGGTCATTTTATTGTTGTCGTTTGGAGATCGTTGTTTCCTTATCAAACGGTGGTTATAAATAAATCATCGATCATTGCTCCGGATCTTCGAATTTTTTGCCCGTCCTTTTAGTTGATGAACGATGGGCAGAAATTGATTGACTTTCTATTTTTTGAGGTCTTTTATTTTTTGAATGCCTTACTTTATTTTATTTTTCATTGTATTTCTTATCCAACTTTTGCTTTTTATGGACATGCCGCAAGTACATTCACTGTTCCCTTAATATACTCTGTTCTTCGTTTTTTGCTCCCACCACTGGCTAAATATTGGATCATCCCAGCTTGTTTTTGGACGACAGACTCGTCGTTGGTGGTCCAGCGAGAGTCAGTTTGTAATTCTTGACGTCCACTGATTGTCTCTCAAGGGATTCACACGATTGGCTGGTCAGTCGTCTCTTGGCGTCATAGAAGGCAAAAACTACGTCATCTTT